CCATGAAGTGGCACAGAATCTTCTGTGTCAGGTTTATATAGTTTCTGAACTTCATCTACAATTAAGATGGTTTCAATGTGTGAAGATTCAGAGACAAATTGGCGCCAACCGATGTCCCCCATAAGCCATCGAAATCGATCTGAAAAGGTCCATTCTGGATTGTCAGCCTCCATCCACAACAGAGATATACGAAAAACCCTTGTTCCAGGGTGTTCTTCCAACAGATGCTTCTCAAGAAGTTGTGCAAGTGATGTTTTACCCGCCATTGGTGGAGATCGTATTAAAAGAACACGCATCTTGGTTAGATGATTTAACAATCTTTGTATTGTTGGGATTCTCTTACAAATCATGGGATCAGATAGGTTTACACCCTCATAACCATGGCCTTGCTCATCTCCTTGATATATTGTTCCACCCATCCCCCCTAAATTAATGAATGGATAAAACATAAGTTAATATTAGCACCTTCATAAACAGTGCCAAGCTTGTCACTAGCCCTCCTATCAGACCACTTATGATACAAGAACAAAATAAAATGCATGAATACACAAGATGAAATGTAACTCTATACCTAGTCTTCCTTGAGGTCCTATAGTAGCAAAATTTTATGTGAAGGACCAGTCATAAAAGGCAAGCAGAAAGTTATTTAGTTAGTTACAGATAGTTTGCTGAATTTAAATTCCTCAAAGGTGGACAAGTGAAATACAACAAGGTGTGACAGCATTCAAACTGTTCTCTCATCATTGCTCCTCTGTTAATCTATAATATCTCTTGTCCCCTCAAGTTTGTCTTTGAAATGAGTTCATGGCTACTCCATGGGCCCTGTTGCTCCTCCCAATGCATGCATTCAACTATTTTCCCACCACTTTCTATTTAACTCATAATGTCTCTTGCCCTTCAAAGTTCAGAGTTTACATTTCTTACCTAGGTGGGTTTGACAACAGAAGAGATAAAAGGAATGCAAGAGAAGAAGAAAGTATAAGTTAGTCTGTCCCAACTCCAACTTATGTTGTAATGCATTCAAACTATTCTCTCCATATAACCTAGCTCTGCTACTGCTATGATTCAGCCCTGCCATTTACTAAACTCTATTCTATACTCCTCCCAATGCATGTTTGTAATGCATTCAAACTACAGTATACTCTCCCCATTACTGCTCTATGAACCCTGTAATGTCTCTACAATCCAGCTCTGCCCCAACTAATAACGCCCAACTGCCTCTCTTGCAATATAGCACAAAACCAGTAACAGTATTCAAACTCTTCTCCCCATTGCTCCTCTATCCTCCCAATAAACATGTGTTGCTTGCTTGCTTACCATGTGATCTGCGGTATTTTTCGTATTCCTTTTCTGCTTGTTTCAAGGTTGCGGAGGGATTTTCTCCGCCGTACTTCATAAAGAACTCGCGTTCACTCATTATTCTTGCATTCACGTCTGTCGGGTCCATGTCTAGAATTTTTTTCGTATGAGTTTAGTGAATGACAAAAGAAGAGTCGCGATCTTACACTGCGCCGCCCAACTCAGCCCTGTTTATACGTTTTACTTACACAAACATGTGATACTTCTCCGTATTGAAGCGCCGAATCAACTGAATCCGTTGGGTCCAGCAACACTTGGCAAAATAGATCGGGAACCCTCCATGCTTTTGTCAGAGACGAATGGAAAAATCTCTTTTATACGTTTCTTTGCATATCACGTTATATAGAACAATGTTTCGTATTATTGCATTATGGCTCTATCTGTGTTACGCTTTTATATAATCGAGTATTTATCCGCCGCTTTTACCGTGATCTGCAAACCATTGAATAATCCGGCTGTAACAATACTGTTCGGGGTCTATTTAAGAGAGAGTCCAAATAACCGTGATAATAATCCGAATTGTTACGGGAAAAGGCGGTATATTACGGTGAAAGCGGCGGATAAATACTCGATTATCGCTTTAATCACCCTAATACTAACTATGAAATTCACAGGCGCAGTAAGCACATGACTATGACAAAATACCGGAACGAATAATCTCCGCTGATACATACTCGACATAGACATGTTCTAATTCGAATAATCATATTCTCACCCTTATCTTTAAAAATGTTATTAAGAAGAGCAAACATCTTTCTTGCCTTTTCAGTCCTTTTACGTAGAAGATTTTATCACCAATTTGTTTTCGAACTTCCTCATTAACTAATGTTTTGGATGCTAAATCGCTACGGTCTAGACTTTTATAATAATTTAAGCGCTGCGATAAAATATACCCAAAGCAGTAATAGCATAGAGTAACTTCTTGGTTTGTGCTTTCGTTTCGGATTTCTGCATGAGTACATTATTATTGAGCTGTAAAAAGTCTGTCGTGTTTTTACTGTGATGCTTCAGAGATTTCAGAAGTCTCAGAAGTCTCGGTGGTCAATTCAGATATAAGTCTCTTTAATGAGGGGGGGGGAATCTTCCCTTTTAATTCGCTTCTTCGCTTTCTTACTGGATATATCTTCGAGAGATCTTTTGTTAGACCCTAAGTTGCACTTCTACTGTTTGAGCGACTATGTTTCAGATATGGGAGTATTCTCACTTCGCGAGTCATTCACATCCACCATATCCTCGTTTGAGATACTATCGTGAGATGTTTTTCCATTCTACCAATTATTGACGACGTACTCAATCCAGAATCTTGCCTCAAGAATTTCAACGATATTATTACAGTTAGGATAAGGACATGATTCTTTTTGCGAAAGTAATAGTTCTTTCTCAACACAGATACGATGAAAAATATGACCACACGATAGAATTGTGACTGCTTTTATGGGGCGTAAAAAAACTTTATTATTACATTTTGAACACTCGTCTAGCTCTGGAACTTCTATATCATCGACAAGACTATCTTCGAAAGTTTTAAGAACGTTATATGTAAGACTCAGATTAGTGATAAAAGTAGGCGTAGCCATGTATAAGGATAGCAAGGGCGAGACGTTGGAACCTCGAATTTGACTGTCATGTAGTTTATGTTATATTATCTATTTCATAATGCACAACGTGCAGGGCTACGCCGATAAAAAACTAATTCGACAAAATCAGCATGGATAGAATTGATTTTTTTTCTCTGGACGCGCGCATTTATTCTTACATCTCGTACTAATAATTATTGTCAGCGACACAATATACGATAATTATGAGATTTACAGATCTAGACCAATAAAACTATCCATGTGCGGTATAAAATTCATTAACCATGCAGATATTTCATTAAATTCTAACGAAATACAATATCAAAACGACTTACCTTTGCGTTTCAGTCATCAGCTTGCACAGCTTATGCATCTGTTCTAAAAATATTCTTTACGGCCCACTCAATTTCAGTTTTATAATAAGGTCAAATACGATCATATTATTGACAGGGGGTTAACAATAGTAAACAGGTACACATGTGAAACCAAAGTATGTCGATATCTGGATGCTAATATTAGCACATCGGATGCAAATCCAATTTTGGATTTTTTTTGTGGCACAATGAGAATTTCGAGGGAGGAAAGAAATTCGTTTACCTTCCACTGCAAAAGATTACGACGAACCAGATAGCAAAACAATATATTGGTTCGCCATGAAGGGTAGAATTCATATGGCGTGGTTATTAGACGTAACGTCTGAAAAGTGCTTATACACATTCCAGAAGATGTTTGTGAAAGAATCTTAGCAAGAAAAATTCAATGTTTCATATGATTTGGGTGATGCTTCGCAGAGCGCTCTGCGCCTCGTATAACAAAATTGTCGAAAAAGTGATTAGTGATTATACAAGTCAATGATTTTAGCTACTCCGTAATTTCATTTGGTTTAGAGACGAAAGCCTCCTCTTTTTGCGAGTCATATATTCGAAATAACGTTACTTTATCTGGAGGTACTCCTCTTGGCCTGTAATTTACGACAATGTAGTTTTGCGTCGGATATATGTTATTATCTGGGCTGTCTTAACGCTTCTTGGGCAATTGTCATGGCGTGAGCTAGATTTTTGACTCCATGCACTACTACAGTCCCCGGCAAAAAGAATGGCGGTGACAATTGTTTTTAGAGTTTTTATAAAAATTCAATACAAAAATCGGTTATCTGTTATTACAGTAATATGTAAACGTATTATTACTTTTCTTATTTACTTAATATATCAGGCATAATTAAAATACCCTCGTCTTTATATTTGCATTTTAATAATCTCAGTGAGATTTGGATTGACTATAAACTTATAATGATAATAATAACAGTCTCAAATCTACTATAAGATGTTTGCGTTTTTAATTAAAATCTAGAAGATTACAAGTCGAAAAAAAAAATAATTTTTTTTTGCCTGATATAGTCTAACCTGTTAATGTAAAAAAGCTTTTACATTGCTTCTTGTCGACTTACTCAAAATTTTATTCATAATATTAGGTTTAAATTAATATAGATCTAAAAGAAAGCCACTTTTCATCTTGGTTTTTTTGCAAGTTATAATATTAGTTCTTGAACTTCTGTTAAATAATTTTTTTTTTTAAATGATAAGAACTAAATTGACATTTAAAAAATACTGGCCGTCATTCTTTTTGCCGGGGACTGTATGGCATATACTGCGCCCATTTTGCGCAAATAACGTGGAATAAGTACATAAAATTTTAAATATTTATTAAGCTGTTTAGCTCCGGATTTTCGATTTCCCAGATGATATAGCATTCTGTATCAGTAACTGCACGTTTTTGATTTTTCTCAAGAGACCTAAATGTTCGTGGAGTATCTTCCTGGTCCCGATTTTTTGCATAGCCTGTATGTAACGCTGGTATTTATAATACGTAAAGTAGTAACTTCAGCGGGACGCATACAAAGCATTATCATAACATCAGCAAGGCCCGTAAATCAGGTAATGTCATCATCTATCCAACCTTTCCTCGACCGATTCTAATGTAAAATGTCTGGGTATCTGATTTTTCAAAATCCTCGACGATTTTTTTTTTGAATTTCGTTAGCTTTCTGTGTAACCTCTGAATTTTTTGTCGCATTAAGATTTTGTAATTCTCGTCGAAGCCGAGAGCCTAGAAGACCCAGCATTTTTATTCAATGCCGATGTAGCTAACTTTGTGATTCAGACTTCACATCTTTTTCACTAAGTTTGTCTCGTAAGATTTGTTTGTGCCAATTTTTTTCTGAATTCGGTAAAGCCTTTTCTGGCGCAGAGAGTTGTAAGATTTACTACTTTTCCACGGCACTTTTTTGAGCAGAAATCGATATACTTATCTGAATTTGAAACCAACTCGAAGGCGTCTTCGTGCTTGATATCGTTCGTAAGTTTGTCAAGCAACTCAGAAGTATACCGACTGAGCTCGGATATGCTTATCTCTGGAATAAGATTGTATTTTTTGACAATTTTTGTTGCGACGGCCGACATGGCAATTTTTATATCGATAGGTTATACTCGCTTTGTTGGTTATATACTATAAAAAATATTCTTTCAATTCGAAAACAATTGTTCATTGATTGGCGCTTGGTCGTATTATATTCGATTTTATGTGTGACTAGTATAAAGGACAAAAAATCCCCCCTTTATCAAATTATCATTCCTTTTTATTAATATGTATACCCTTGCATAATCTCTGTATCGTGCGTTATAATGCACGTGGAAAACGTATTTTACCATAAATAGCCATTCTCTTTGAGTATCGCTATATTTTTTACCCATTCTTTGTTATAGTCATATGACCGAGGGGTTCCTCATCCTCCCATTCCGCCCGAGAATCGGAAAACGCTATGCGAGATTTGCTGAAGTCTGCTGTCCACGTTGTAGCTATGGATGCTTTTGGAAATCAATCAACTTTAACCTTTTTAAGACAATATCGGGGCGAAGATATACGAATTTTCGATAACAAGTATCAGTCGCGCAAAGGCGAGTCTGTAAAAATCCTTTATGACCCGGATAAAGGATCAGAAGCTATGCGTATAGGCCTTAAGATGCTTGAGAAAGGCAAACGCGTGGCCTTTTTTATGACTTCTTACAAAAAAGCTCGAGCTTTGGCGCTACAAACTCACAAGCTACGAAAACCAGATGGTTTACCCATCAAATAGACGGAAAACAACGCCAAGAACATTTTGCTGATATTAACGCTACCTGGATTGTGTAATTTATACGAGCACAGTAGAATCGGGTATATCTTTTGAGATTTCTAATTATTTTGATGCAATTATTGCAATTAGTATTAGTATATCAATACAGGAATACACTTGCTCAAATACTTTATCGAATCCGTGGCTGTTCATATCGTATTATTTCTCTTTATAATAGTAAAAAGCCTGGCATATTTAAAGATCCAAATCGCGATTTCAGCCTTAAGACCTGGTGATTTGCCAGTTGCTATAAAAGGACATCGATTGTTATGCTCTTGATTTGTCCCCCGCAGTAGAAACTTATGTTGAAGCCGAATATCAGAGGCGTTTATCTGTTAAATATTTTCCCGAAATTCTTTGTAGTCTTATTGCCAGTACTTCAGTATAGCTTCGATAGAAGACACTGGCTCAGCTAAAACTGATCGTGCAAAAATATCTAATAATAATAAGAAAAGTGCAGAGAAGAATGAAGTCACTGATGCGGAATTAATAGCTAATGCAGTCCTGATGATGCTGAAACCATTAAACAAATGCCCACACGTTTATTTACCGATAATATGACTTTGAAACGCCATTATTTATAGAAGATGTATGCTTCAAGTAATATAGGAGGTATGGATAATACTCGAGATTGGAGCATGGATACCGCTGATTGGGTTAAACTATGTAATGTAGATTTCGTAAAAGATTCAACAATTTTGAAGTGTTGTTACATTTTAAGAGGCTGGCATATTTTCGAAGACAAGGTTCTAACGCAATAAAAGCTTTGGAAAATATGAAAATAAAAGAAGCAATACAATGGAAAAAATCTCAAAATTTGTTGGATCCGGGCTCAAATGATTTACATAATCTTATTCAGCATATTTCAGTCTTTGGGATTTTCTGACATTGATGATGCAAAAATTCTTTCAGGCGATGATTTTACAAAAGCATTTAAACAGTCGCGAGAAAAAATCGCTCAAATGATTGCTATAATTTAATTAGTGAAACGATATTTAAGCCGTCGTAGTTTCCCGCATCTTCAGCTCGTTTATTCGATTCTTGTTTTTATAATTCTTTGCAATTAGAATATTCTAATAAGATCAATATTTATTTATAAATTTAATTTGTTCATTTCCTGGCGAAGATATCTCTATCGCTGTACGCACTAACTGTATACAAAATCAAACTTGTCTTCGACTTCGTTGGAATTTTTGACATCAGGATTATTATTATTTAATTCTTTATAAACGCGTTTAGTGGAGTGAAATTTTCCCAACCTATAGGCTTTCGAAACTAATCCCATCGGAAGAACTCGAGGTTAAATAATAATCTGGGGACGGAGTATACAAGACCGATCTATAGACTCGTGCATCCGACACACAAATATTGCATTAGCATATAGACTAATCTGTCCAACTTGTATTTATTTTATCAAGGGGCCCAAGCCTTTACCTGGAAAAAAATTAGACCCTCATCAGCTTTACTGTTATCTAATCGGAAATCTAAGGTCTTACTAATGTTATTTCGAGAAAAACCAGTCAGACTTACGAATTTATAGATTTGGTTGACTTTCAGTTTTTATTTGTAAACTAACGGACATGGCGCATAATTTGTAGGCAATCTTTTACAATCAATACCAAAACACAGCCTTTGCTTTATTTTAACCCAACTTCCTTTTAATGGCCACAAAATTACTTGTTATCAGCCCGCCATCATTTATAAAGTTTAGCACGTCGCTGTCTATAGATTTCTTTAATACTCGTTTCCGGGAAGTACTGTTCAATGTTAACTTTGTTCTCGATCTATACGTACGTCGATTCAACCGATAGACATGTACATACTAATA